TTGTTTTGAACAGAAAAGTAAGAAAACCGATCATCGACGTAACGAACTTATAATAACAAGATTATATGTTGTTGTTTTAATATAATCAGCTGAAAGTTGCTAGTAAACTCTTTATAACGATATAACTTTAGGCTACGAGATATTACCAAAACTTTATCACGTGTGGGAAATAAGAGGTTATATATATTTTAAGATCAAGTGATAACAAATACACAGGTACATGATTGGGTAAATTATAAATCATTAGATCCGTTTTCCTTTCACTATATGGTACAAAAAATGAATATGCTTTATCCTCCCACATGTGATAAATCAAGGAAGCAATACCAGTATCATGATATGTGCAAGTCATATACGCAATCGTATACCGCCCAGGGGTTTATCAATTATCTCCCTTCAGTCACCATAGCAACGCTATACACGAATTGAACACCAACGGTGCCCGTGGGTATACACGTCCTTGTGTCTGTGTATAGGACAGTAACGAAATACCTTCATTATACACCTGTGTTCGTGTGAGCTAAACCTCAATATTTATTTTACTTTATTATGGGTAACAGGCTTATCTTACCATATTCCCGACACAAGGTCGGTCGGTAAATATTTAACAATGCTAATAAAGGAACGTCAGAACAGGAATATGTAAAAATTTCTCATATCTATATTTATCTCATACATTTTCTTCATTTTGTCACGTTTCATTAAAACTATCTATACAACTATAGTTATCTCTTCGTAGGAAAATAGGTATGTATACATGTAGTATAATTTATATTTAATTTTAATCTGGACATGGTACCGTGCCACATTTGTGACTGGCGTATCGTATATATGTAATTGGATATGTGTAATACAACTATTTATACAGAAAAAATAGAGCCCATTAAATCGCCTAGACGTTACATTAAAAGTAAAGCACTCGGCATGGAGAGATGCAAGTGTAATTAATTAAGTAACCAATTAATTATTTACATCAATGACAATTAATATGTATGGCTGGAGGAAATCTTCTTTAGTGACTGACCTTACCACACAGATTCCCTCTCATTACATGTTTCTATAGTGACTGACCTAACCACATCGATTCCCTCTCATTACATGTTTCTATAGGGACTGACCTAAGCACACAGATTTCCTCTCATTACATGTTTCTATAGTGACTGACCTAATCACACAGATTTCTTCTCATTACTTGTTTCTATAGTGACTGACCTAACCACATCGATTCCCTCTCATTACATGTTTCTATATTGACTGACCTAACCACACAGATTTCCTCTCATTACATGTTTCTATAGTGACTGACCTAATCACACAGATTTCTTCTCATTACTTGTTTCTATAGTGACTGACCTAACCACACAGATTTCCTCTCGTTACATGTTTCTATAGTGACTGACCTAACCACATCGATTCCCTCTCATTACATGTTTCTATATTGACTGACCTAACCACATAGATTTCCTCTCATTACATGTTTCTATATTGACTGACCTAACCACACAGATTTCTTCTCATAACATGTTTCTATAGTGACTGACCTAACCACATAGATTTCCTCTCATTACATGTTTCTATAGTGACTGACCTAACCATATAGATTTCTTCTCATTACTTGTTTCTATAGTGACTGACCTAATCACACAGATTCCCTCTTATTACTTGTTTCTATAGTGATTGACCTTACCACATAGATTTCCTCTCATTACTTGTTTCTATAGTGACTGACCTAATCACACAGATTCCCTCTTATTACTTGTTTCTATAGTGACTGACCTAATCACACAGATTCCCTCTTATTACTTGTTTCTATAGTGACTGACCTAATTACATAGATTTCCTCTCATTACATGTTTCTATATTGACTGAACTAATCACACAGATTTCCTCTCATTACATGTTTCTATAGTGACTGACCTAACCATATAGATTTCTTCTCATTACTTGTTTCTATAGTGACTGACCTAATCATACAGATTCCCTCTTATTACTTGTTTCTATAGTGACTGACCTAACCACATAGATTTCCTCTCATTACGTGTTTCTATATTGACTGAACTAATTACACAGATTCCCTCTCATTACATGTTTCTATAGTGACTGACCTAACCACATAGATTTCCTCTCATTACTTGTTTCTATAGTGACTGACCTAACCACACAGATTTCCTCTCATTACATGTTTCTATAGTGACTGACCTAACCACACAGATTTCCTCTCATTACATGTTTCTATAGTGACTGACCTAACCACACAGATTTCCTCTCATTACATGTTTCTATAGTGACTGACCTAACCACACAGATTTCCTCTCATTACATGTTTCTATAGTGACTGACCTAACCACACAGATTTCCTCTCATTACATGTTTCTATAGTGACTGACCTAACCACATAGATTTCCTCTCATTACTTGTTTCTATAGTGACTGACCTAACCACATAGATCTCCTCTCATTACATGTTTCTATAGTGACTGACCTAACCACACAGATTTCTTCTCATTACATGTTTCTATAGTGACTGACCTACCTACATAGATTTCCTCTCATTACATGTTTCTATAGTGACTGACCTAACCACACAGATTCCCCTTCTTTACATGTTTCTATAGTGACTGACCTAACCACACAGATTTCTTCTCATTACATGTTTCTATAGTGACTGACCTAACCACACAAATTTCCTCTCATTACATGTTTCTATAGTGACTGACCTTACCACACAGATTTCCTCTCATTACATGTTTCTATAGTGACTGACCTAACCACACAGATTTCCTCTCATTACATGTTTATACAGAGACTGACCTAACCACACAGATTTCCTCTCATTACATGTTTCTATAGGGACTGACCTAACCACACAGATTCCCCTTCTTTACATGTTTCTATAGTGACTGACATAACCACACAAATTTCCTCTCATTACTACATGTTTCTATAGTGACTGACCTAACCACATAGATTTCCTCTCATTAATAGAAATAAATCAGCGTAGTTGTTTACTGTACACGGTGCATTGTTTACCTCCGACAATCAAGTTTATCATGTTTTAAATCAGGCCTCATCTACTTACAAGAAAAGCGCGTCTTTAGACATTATCCCGACGATTACTGTTATGAATTTTACATTATTCCTTTCATCCAAAAAAATATATATTACATTAAACACATACTATCAGGCGACTTTGATAAAACAAACAAGAAAACCAGCCGTGAACTCAAACTGGGACTAAGTACAAGAGACCTCGACAGGTTGCTAGCCCAGCTGGGTCATCCCTCTCTCTGAGATAAAATCAGAATGCGTATCAGTCAGGTTGAGCTACCCTCTCTGGATCTGATAACAAGAAAGCTCGGAACTGACTTGGTCGTGGAACCCCTCTTTGTCTTTGATGACAAGATACCATGAACTGACTTGGTCGTGGAACCCCTCTTTGTCTTTGATGATAAGAACCATGAACTGACTTGGTCATGGAACCCCTCTTTGTCTTTGATGACAAGATACCATGAACTGACTTGGTCGTGGAACCCCTCCTTGTCTTTGATGACAAGATACCATGAACTGACTTGGTCGTGGAACCCCTCTTTGTCTTTGATGATAAGAACCATGAACTGACTTGGTCATGGAACCCCTCTTTGTCTTTGATGACAAGATACCATGAACTGACTTGGTCGTGGAACCCCTCCTTGTCTTTGATGACAAGATACCATGAACTGACTTGGTCGTGGAACCCCTCTTTGTCTTTGATGACAAGAAACCATGAACTGACTTGGTCATGGAACCCCTCTTTGTCTTTGATGACAAGAAACCATGGACTGCCTTGGTCGTGGAATCCCTCCTTGTCTTTTATGACAAGATACCATGAACTGACTTGGTCATGGAACCCCTCTTTGTCTTTGATGACAAGATACCATGGACTGCCTTGGTCATGGAACCCCTCTTTTTCTTTGATGACAAGATACCATGGACTGACTCGGTCGTGGTACCTCTCTGACTTTGATGACAAGAAACCATGGACTGCCTTGGTCATGGAACCCCTCTTTGTCTTTGATGACAAGATACCATGGACTGACTCGGTCGTGGTACCTCTCTGACTTTGATGCCAAGAAACCATGGACTGCCTTGGGCGTGGAACCCCTCTTTGTCTTTTATGACAAGAAACCATGGACTGGCTTGGTCGTGGAACCCCTCCTTGTCTTTGATGACAAGATACCATGGACTGCCTCGGTCATGGAACCCCTCTTTGTCTTTGATGACAAGATACCATGGACTGACTCGGTCGTGGTACCTCTTTGACTTTGATGACAAGATACCATGGACTGCCTTGGTCATGGAACCCCTCTTTGTCTTTGATGACAAGATACCATGGACTGCCTCGGTCATGGAACCCCTCTTTGTCTTTGATGACAAGAAACCATGGACTGCCTTGGTCATGGCACCCCTCTTTGGATTTTATGACAAGATCTTCCGAACTGACATTGTCGCGATCAGTTTGATTTGTGTTGAAAGGATGGAGCCATTGTGTAGATGTTGATGTAAAGTTAAAGAAGATGTTCAATATGTCATGTGTCCTGTAATACATTTTTTGTCCAGAACCCCCATCCAAAATCAGTGGTATACAAACTTTGAACAAAGAGACTCGATTTTCATTTACATCTGTTCGCATTGTTAGTACCACTTTTTTTTTTTATCACAAGCCAGTCTGTATTAAAATTAACCAAATGCTTCAAATTCAATGAAGTGAAAAGCAAACACGATCAAGAGGTTACAATTGAATTTTAAACAAAGACTGGAGCAGATAAAACCAAAAATGAAAACAAAAACGAAAAAAGACCAACAACAACTAACACAAATTATGGTAAGTTAATAAAACTGTACACAAGACCATGTTGCTTCATCCATAACCCACAACACGGGCGGTGTTTACCTTAAATAAATCAGTTTTCTATTTACCTGGGTATCTGATAAGAAATAGATTATTCGTGTGCTGTAGCTTACCTCCTCTTAAAACACTTGATACGTCGTTGATCAGTCGTTACAAATACTATTGAAGTATCGGTGAACGTCTTCCCTTCAGGTGAACAGTCCAAATGTTCACATTAACCTAGCTACACGGTATAGAAACTCTGGTCTATATATATCCTATATCTACAATATCAGACACATAATGTCCCACAAGCCAGCTGTATCCATACGCTCTAACATAGTTTTATGACCAATTGATTACAGAACATTACGTGTAGAGGTTTTTGGCGACAAATACATTTAAATCTTTTATTGCAGTAAGGTTAAAACCATATTTTTGAGTTAAGGTTTAAGTAATTGATTTAATTGAATGGCACTAAGGCTTGCAGTCGATCGCGAGCGTGTGTGATAAAGAAAATTCCACTTTATACATCTGTATATCATTATATTGGTACAAATTAGTGTTGGTAGAACTGTATTATATTTGAAGCCCAGTAATGGGGAAAAATGAATACAAGTGTGTAGCTATCGCGTTTTTTAAACATAGCAATTAGTTTATGTTAAGGATGGTTTCATTTAGTATTTTTGCAATATTTCACTTTGCAAAAGATTTAAAACCTTATGGTAATTTTTATAAGTATTCAAGAAGTCCTGAACTAATATATTATCACAAAAATAATCAGTTCAAATGATAATTGTTAGATTTAAAAAGGTCTGTTTGAACATGTACCTGTCGTTAGAAATTCTCGTAAAAGTAAGAACAGTAAGACATTTTTCACTTTTCAAACTGTTCTTTTCGTATTTTAAAAGAACAAATATAACTTTTGTTAACGATTGTAATCGCTATGCACATCGTCGCTTAGGTATTTCACAATATTCGGTTTAATATAAGCTCGTTCTTTACCAAAACAATATATGGCATGACCTTAATACATTCTACAACAGTCGTGATGACGAGAAATACCAAATAAAAATACTATTTTCGTTCGTATGCTATTAAGCCTTGTAACAGTAAAAGCAGGAAACAAATACTTAAAACTACTGTACTTCAGAGCTAATGTGATCATATATTTTTGCCGTAAATTACATCTGGCCTTAAAAAACTGCTATTTTAGAACTGCTGTTTTTCTGTTTGGTTAACAAATTCGACACATGAGTCTTCAGGACATAAATGAATTGTGTTTCAATATTCACTTTAAATTCAAGAATAATTCCTGGAAAAGATATTTATAATATATTATGATTTTGAACCCATGGTCATGCTCAACTCATTTTAAAATGTAACTGATTTAGTTAATGCATCCGGATCCATGACGAACCCTTTACAATTCAGTAGACCGACATTGATTGTATATAATTAACGGTATCATGAAATTCCTAAAATTAACATGGATATTGAAAACGTTAATTCCATTGCGGCATGGCAATTAAAAATTAGCATTCAACACAAATGTTTATTTGAAGAAAAAAAGATTAGCCACCAAATTACATTCTATATATTGTATCTTGAGAATTTCGGAAATAAAATTGTATTGCCGGAACAGCTCCCCAAAAACCTTGTTCACTGGACTTGTAAGGCTATTCAAAGTGGAGGATGATGCGTCATATTTGACAAATGATAAATTACTTATAGAAAATGTAATCTAATATTTCCATTTGGTAGGTTTGTGCATATAGCGCGATCCAAAAAATATGTTCTGGCGCACAATTGGCTGTGTGTTTTGTCCTAATCAATGTCAGAGTGGGTTGAGACAAGAATACATGGCCGATAGTTTAGTATATCGATATGGTTTTTCCTGGTTGTCATAGTCCTGGATGTCGCATTACTACCTCCATGTGTTGTTGTATTGAAAATCAAAACATCGCCATCTTGCTCCAATGAACTTTAACAGGAACGGTATTATGCTGGTGTTCGCATTTTGTAGATGAGGAAGGAGGGGAAACAAAGATCGTGTTTATGAACCGCAGAAATCAAAATCAAGGAAAGTATGCAGGCCGCCACCTTACTTAGACATCTCGAAAAGTCATCAGCCATGATAGACATCAAATATCTTAAAAGAAAAATCAATTAAGGATGATGATCATTTCCTTAATTTAGATATACCATTTAGGTAGAAAACCCCGGGAGGACCCTGGAATGAAATACAGCATTTATTTAAGAGGGAAATGGATTTTAAAAACAGGATATTACTGTAGAGCCGTTTAGAAATAATTAGTACAATTTTGACAAGCACTGGTAACATTATTACGAGACTACAAGTCTTCTTCGATCCCTGTCATTATATTGATAAATGATGATGATTATGTAGTATTTTGTAAAATATGTTACAAGATTACATTGAAACGCTCCGGAAGCTTGCGAAGCATATCATCATCTAAAACTGTTTTACATAAGATGAATAGAAAGTACCACTCTGATTGGTCAGTCCCAAAAGATATATCTTCACATCTGTATGATCGTGCTAGTATATGGCATACCGTTTTCCTTATGTGATAACGCTTGGCATACAGTTGTCCTTATGCGATAACGCTATGTTTTACATTGGTTTAAACACTGTGCTGACGTTATGGTATACACTCTTTAAGTGTTAACCTCATTATACGTGTGTTTTTGCTTGTTTGTTGACGCTCTATTGTTTCTTATTCGTTTCTTTGTTGATGTTATGCTATTTATTTGTTGGAAGGAACGCTATGGTATCAACTCGTCTCCTTGAATATTAGTGTAATCTTTATATCTATTTCCCCGTGTATTGACGCTATGGTGTTTATTTGTTTCCAGGTGTGTTTCCTTGTACACCTACGTGTTGGTGGTTATTAGTGTGTAATAGAGACATATATCACTGCACACATTAACGGATCTACCACTCCGGTTAGCAAATGGTTCATTCATCCAGTAAATGATTTTATTCATCCAGTAATTATTACAAAAACATAGGAGGTCACAGGATATTACATTATGAAGTTGTAATTGACTAAATCTGTTGCCACGCGGATGTACCAAACACATTTCAATTGGCTGTTGAAACTGTTATTTAAGGAGACTATACACAGTGTGGGTGTTAGACCTACAGTGAACCCACTTATTTTACCTGACTATGGAACATCCTGGTTAGTTCCCCGTAGGCTTTGGACATTTAATCATCCGTACGATATTAAGTGTGTAATTTGTTAATGTTACATCACCATTAATACGATCTATTGAAACATTAATAAAAAGGTAATTTTTAATCAAATACATATGCAGACTAGAAAAAACCCCAAGGAAATTACAGTGGATCAAAGCCTTGTGGCCATTTTCAGGCGATAACACAAGTCTGCACAAAATTGAACTATAATTTTAACGTTGCAACCATTTTACTGTTGAAAGTGTCAATGGATATAGAAATAAGTGTTCATTAGTACCAATTCAGTGTCACTTAAATTAGCTAGAACAGTACACTTCAGCCTGTTCAGACAAATCCCTCACGGGAGAAGTCTCCACTTTCTTCGGTCTATTATAATAGAAAAAATCGAAATTAGAAGTTAATAAAAAAAAATATTTGAAACGTAGAGAGTTGTGTCTGAGCATGCAAGGTCGTACCTTAGTCAACATGACAGCGAGCTTGATACGCTCTTCTATTTATCTCATACCATGCTTTAGAAACTGATTTCCTATTAGATTTCCTATTAGAAACTGATTTCCTATTAGAAACTGATTTCCTATTAGAAACTGATTTCCTATTAGAAACTGATTTCCTATTAGAAACTGATTTCCTATATGTTAAATAGTTCGCACGCTTTTATCAACTTATTTTGAAGTTTCGCCGTTTTTCCTACAGATTTGGTTTAGATTACGTATATTACGGTAAGTTAATGAGTTAGTTTGAAATAAGTTGTCCAATCCCTTTGTATCTTTGATCAATAAAATATGTTTAAACAAAGTTTAGGAGGCTTGTCGCTTAATTATGTCAGTTGTATGAAATATAATGCAATACATGTGTTGCTTAATATTTTAACAAAGTGAACGGCCTTAAGAACCGAAAAATAAGCAACAAATAAACTGATTTGTGTGTTATTGTTTATGCTTTATTTTCGAACTAAACTCATGAGCTCATCAAAATAACCATCAATATGGAATAAAAATTTGAGGTTTATATAGACGACTAACTAAAAACTAAGACATGCCCTTCTGTTTATATAAAGAATCAACAAATCCTGTTTCGAAAAATTGGTACCTGGATGGGATAATGGTCACGATAAAAAAGCTACTAAAGTTAACTGCTTTTAACAACATTACTTTCCTATGGATACTGTATACCGTCCTATTTAACCTGATAGTAAAAGCATATTTACTTTGATAGCGTGTCACTTATTCCAAATACCATCACTATATCATTAAAATACGCACATATAAGCAGGGAATAACAACTACCATTTTTAAGGTCTTTGGTATGTCCCGGTCTGGGGACAGAACCCTTTGTCTTTCTCCCTTGGGCGAACAAAAGATAAAGGTAAACAAACACATGTGGTAACACCTATACCATTTGGTAATTTATACAGAATGCCAAAAATGAATTGCATCATACAGCTGTTTCGTCCTTCTAGGACTCGTCGATGATGCTGGAAGCCAAAAAGGTGGAAACGAAATAGATCTAAACTACTGTTGGAAGGGGAGGGCAACAAAACTCCGTTATGATGTGGATTTCAAAAATAAGGGGAGTAATGACTAATAAGGAGACAAGGTAGTCTAGTGGTAGGACGTCAGGCTCGTGACCGAAGGGTTCGGGTCACGGCACGGCACGGCACGGCACGGCACTGTGTTGTATCTTTGAGCAAGATACTTTACTCCGCTTGTTCCAGTCTACTCAGCTGTAAATGAGTACTTGGTTGGGCAGTGCTAAAATTGTAGAATGCTAGCTGCGAGCGCTGAAATGGCAGCACCGGCAGTATACTCCCCCGTGAGTTGAGAAAGCTATTGGCTAATTGCAAAGGCCCTATAACCACGGATAATAATTTGTGAACCGCTTTGAGATGACCTACGAACTAGGTTGTGATAAAGCGGTATATAAGAACCTCGAATTATTATTATCATTATCATATGAACCCTACCATTAAAGATATATCTTTGGCCATCAAGGTTACGACGAACATCTTGGACTGAGAAATCCTCCAGCATTGCCCACCACCTTGTATCGTGACAGATCAAGGTACGACACGTGGTATTGTACCTATATAATTTAGTA